CCCTCCCCCTCTGCCCTCTACTGAGTGAAGGTATAACTCTAGTAACAGGTTACAATCAAGTGTATTATTGCTTATCATGCCAAAAAAAAAGCAAAATATATTACCTTGTTGACCAAATGGCATTTTAGACATTAGTTGACCACCACAGTGAAAGTAACTAAATGTCAAATCGAACGTCAAAGAGTAATATATTGTTTCCATCCTAGAAAAATGCAACGTTTTTGGCTTGAAAATAAATTGACTGATGATTAAATAACTAAAATGCCCCTGAATGAAGGTGAGAAATGTATGTGAGTATTTGTTATATATAAATATTATATACTTGGACTATGAGAGGCAGAGATGGTCATGGAATGTGACTGTATGAGCTAAGTTAATGGAGCCCGAAATTGTACCTCCATCATCAAAGAGGATCTTTATGACTTCTCCAGCTACATCCGACTGTATAACGACATTGACAAGAAAGACAGAAAAAGTAATCAGATTATGATGAACAACAATTTTTTCCCTGGAAAGCAAGAAGTGTCGATGATCTTATCTCACCTTCACAGGAAGTTCAGTGCCGAACTGGTCCAAGTAGCATATTATTTGCCCTTCTCTAATGGCATCACCCTGTTCAGTAAATATGGGTTTTATTTAAATCATATTCATTGAATATAGAAAGTACTTGGTACAAAGGAAAACTTAAAACTGAATTCCCATAATAGGCTATTGCTAGTTTGCTTTGTCATTATCAGTAAGATAATGCAAACAAGATCTGAAGATAGCTTCATAATATGAGCAGAGCTTGCTGAATAAATGCTACTTGATTATTAGTCGGCTAACATTCATAAGTTTGATATCGTAAATATTCTATTTTGTATGCTATCCCATGTTATTGAGAAAAAGACGAAAGGGAAATAAAATCTGAAGTGCACAGGTGAATCGGGTGTTTTAATTTGAAGTTACCTCTTTACAGGCAGGTGGCTGCTTCTTCCCTTTCAGTGTCCTGCTTTTATGGAATGATCCAACCTGGTAATACAGAAGAAGAATTTATTTGGATTCAGAAGATTGTCGCAACTTGCAAAAGGTCATAAGTTTTAATTATCGTATGCTATCATGGTCTTTGAATAATATATGAAAGATTATCGGACTTATACCGTTGGACATGAAACTAGAACATATCCAGTAGCTCCGGAAGCTTCCAGTGCTGCTAATTTTCTTGACTTCTTAACAGTTGCATTTGTAAATGGATTTGTTTTTGGTTTTCCAGAAAAAGACGGTTCATCAGCAGGGGCTGATTCAGTCATTGGTTTACTAGGAATTGGTGGTGGTTCTGTAGGCGAAGCAACAGGCACGTGGGCTTCCACTGATTTAATGTTCCTCTTAAGATGCATTTCGAAGTCTCCAATCTATAGGAACCGAAACAAATGTTTTTCAGAAGAATTGCTTTCTAGAGAGAACATTATATTAAAGTTTTGGAAAGAAAAAGGATAAGTTTATGATGTAACAATATGGCGAAATCAACAATAGCGACTCTCATAAACAAATTATTCCAAATTCAGTCGTGTCTCATAGTTAGAGGACTGATATATTCACCTTCATTAAGAATCCTTTCCTAATAGACTTTCACTTTTGGTTTGTCACATCTAAACGCATTTTATAATAAATACATGTTGTTCCCTTTTTAGTTGCACTATAGCTTTCTACAAATCCCTTTTTTTGCATAGCAAGCGCAATAACGCATGAGACATTAAGTAAAAAAGGTATGATATTTTATTACCGACCTACACCATATGTTTCATTAGAACATGATCCCATTGCATGTCAATATATGATAGAGACAGAAGCAAAGAAATTCACATGCATATAAGCGCACCTTCATTTTCAGTTCAGCAACCTGTGTCGTGTCACAGACACCCAGCACAAGTTCCTGATATTATAACAGTAAGCATGCAAGCAGAAGTCATAATCGTAAACAAAAAACCTCTACATACGAAACTGAAAAGAATATTAATGGGGATCAAAGCCAAGTTTGTAAGTTTGTTACTCCAGGATCCTATGTTCCTATTTGCTGTGTGAGAAAGCTTGTCCAGGTGACATAATGAATTACTGATAAATGAAGAAGTTACCTCAAAACCACTAGGAAAAGTTGCACCTCGACGAGAAGTTTTCTCCGGTGAACCTTTAAAATGGAAAAGACACAATAATCAGATATTCTAGTAAGAAACATTTATCTACGAAAGCTTGGAATAGAGAGGTCAATATAAGCAGTTCATGTAAATAATTTAAGTCTAACCAGTTTATCAATGTAAAATCCATTTGAAGGGAAACTAAAGATGTTAGATTCAACAGGAAATGAGAATCAAGTCGATAGCTAGCCCAGAAACTCACGGTTACCCAAAAAAAGAGTCAATAGCAATGAGAATGATGATCACAGATTGAAGCCAAAAAGGGATACATTATATACCTACTGGTATTTACATTACACGCCCCAAACTAAGAACAATTACAAAAGTGTACTAACATATTCTACCAGGATCAGTAGTATAAATGGAAAAGTGATCATGTAAATAAAATCTTATCCCTATTAAGAAACATGAAACCATACTGGTTCACATAAGGACGAGCACTTATTGCAGCAAGGGTTGATATTGTGGCAAAAAGAAGCACTCACCATTAGACCCGTCAAAAACTGCACCATCAGATGTCTTCACACATGACACAAGAATTCCTGCTCGCTTCGATCGAGAAGAAACAAGCTCCCTACCAAAGGCTGAGATGAGAGATTTGGTTGATGTGAGCCATTTGGCATTATGCATAGAAACTACACCACGTCTTGCAGCTGCAGAATGTGAAGTTGAATCTATGCGCATAGAATCTGCAACCATAAGATCACATATCAACTTAAGCATACAAAAGTAGAAATATATACATATATACGTACATATACATATACATATATATATACCTTGGCAAATTTTACATTTCTAATAGTTAAGGGGTTATATTGTTCTTCATCCTCATTCTTGTGAATCCACATTTTTGGGAAATCTGATTACAATGAAGACTTCTCTCTCCATCTCATCTCTCTCCATCTCATCTCCTTCGTTTTAGTTCATATATTGATTCTCAAACTCTTAAAAGCATTAAATAGGAGAAAATCATTATTAAGACATACATGCACTTTCGAATAATGGTAGTGACATATGACCTTAACAATCCTTAAAAAAGCTTATTGCAACTTTGCAAGGAGAAAAAGTGAGGAATTCTGAGGTTTACACTAATCATGGTGCATATAACATTTGAGATTGAGGTGATCATCATTATAGAATAGGATGTTTGCACGATAAACGTTAAATCGACAGCTGATAGTGGCATCAAATCCTTGACAAATGAAAAAAAAATTGCATGATGTCTATGGCCAAAAGCCCAAAACCATCTCCCCTTCCCCCAAAAAGTACACCTACAGCTACAGGTGTCTTCAACCCACGGAGACCTAAGATTGTTATATAATCGGGGCTTCTTTGCACATTAACAGTGACAAATGCATTAGAACGTATAATTTATTGGTCCTTTTTGATCATATATACGATCTGTGAACCAAAGAAGTCACTCGTTCGAAACTACTACGTAATGAACACCTCAAATCAATTTGCTATCGCAAATAATCCGCACAAATTAAATATCTAACCGAAATCAAACATAAACAAACCAAATTTCACTTAAAATTGACACAATCTATGCCAACATTTAGCTTTCATACCGTCATCTAAAGCAGTGAGAATCAACAGAAACGAACTAATAAGGATCACATTCATAAGCATTCACATAATCACATAAACAGAGAGAAGAAGATTACAATGGAAAGTGCGCAAGACAGCTGTAGACTCCGCCATGGAATATGTGTTTGAGAGAACTGGATGCGGAGATGAACGATCGATCCGTGGAACAATGATTAGGATTTATGGCTTGCTACTCCTCGAATTTCTTTGTGATGTCCGCCCTAAATCATCAAATTCTTCACCCACCGACTGTCATTCTCTTCTCTGATGTTCTTTGTTCGCCTACCCCACTTTGGTTATTGCAAAGCTGCAAGGACGCCAAGTAATCGGGGTTGCTTCACCTTTGACTCTAAATTTTGTCATGCTAAAGTTGAAACAAACGTATGGTATTGGCAATTTCAGCTTTTAGAGTAAATTGCGATTTTAGTCCCTTTAGTTTGTTGATAATTTCGATTTTTATCCTTATAATTTACAAATTACAATTTTCATTCCTATGATTTCAGTGTAATGCTATATTTATTTCTGGACTAATTCATACATTTTTAATACAAGAGACTAGAGGTGATCATTTATAGGTTCGGGCCAGACCTAACTTGTTTTTTTTGTTCAACGGGTCTAATATTGTAAACTCAAGCTCTTTTTTCGGGCTTGACAACTTGTCATTAACTGTCCTATAAATGGGTCGGGCTTACCCATGGGCTAACGGACTTAAAAGTGTAACTCTTAATTAACAAATGTGGAACAAAAAAAAATTAAGCAACTACTGACTTTATCCATTGTTGATCGATTAAATTTTTTGACATAAAGATGCTTAAAAATATACTAATATAATTTTAATCAATGATTAAAAAAAACATTAATTTTAAAACATAAATGGGTCGGGGCCCTGTCCATATTTATTTTTCCATTGTCCATGTTCGTCCATTAATTTTAACGAACAAACCCGGGGCCGCCAATGTTCTCGATAATGGTTGTCTAAGCCAGTATTTGTAGCGGGCTGGATTGGCCGGGTAGTCCCGCACATGGACAGCTCTACAAGAGACCATAACAGTAAAAAATTGTAACTCACAGGAACCAAAACAACAATAAATTATAAAATATAAGAATGAAAATAACAATAAGTTATAAATAAATAAGAACAAAAAAAGGTAATTTTTTAATAAAACACATGGACAAAAAGGGTAATTTACTCTTATTATTTTGTTTTCAGATGAATTTTTATCCTAAATTGATGATTTATAAAGTTAATTAGACAAAAATAAAAACATTTATACGACTTATAACAATTAATATGAAATAAATAAATAATTTTATTAATAGTGGTTGATCAAATAATTTATATAACTGGTTATACAAAATAGTTAGTATAATATAAAATAAATACGGTATAATTTTTGCACTTGCAACCATTGCTTAATGACCTACACTTGAACCTTAAATTGGCCAACCAGATAATGAGTTTTATTGGTTAGAAATGAGTTTTATACTGATTCGGACCCAAAAACAAAGTGAGGTACAATCACATATCGGTAAGTCGTTTATATGCAAATGCACGTCTTCGGGTACAGATATTACATCGATATCTGCCAAACTTTTAAAATAAGATTTGTTCTAGATTATCTGGTGCTTGTTTATTAACAAGTTTCCGGGCAAACAAATTTGATAGTGACATGAAGATGTGTTTAAGGTCATGAAAGGAATGAGTTTTAGTTAAGATATTGTTGTATGCGGTCTTATTTATAAAAATGTAATTCTTGACGTTGATGTGTGTAAAAAGAAAATTAATAAGTAATTGTACATTTAACGAGATATATATATATATATATATATATATATATATATATATATAGTGGTGTACTTAAAATCTCTCCAACAATTATTTTATATTTTCTTCTTAAATAAAATATTAAAAGTCAAAATCTACAAAAGAAATTAGATCTAAAGTATTATATTTTAGCAATTGTAACATTAACTATATTATTAAAAATATTCAATACGGTTTAATAAAATACTATACATTTTATTGATTGGAAAGGATTAAAATACCAGCTAAGAGATTTTTCCATATTTGAAGATTTTCACATCTTCCATCTTCTTTTTCCTATTTTAATATAGCGTAAATTGCATGAAAAAATAACGTATTTTAATTTTATTTTTATTTTGGATAACATGCTTCCAAAACTTTTATTTTGGTACTTAAGATGTAAAGTTTTAGACATTTAAATACCCGGGTAACCGGTTGAAGCATTAACTGGTTTTCATGTTGATGTCACAAGTGATATGGTATCCAACTCAGTATTATTTGTTATTCAACCCAATTTCATCTTATCACTCACCACATCAGCATAATAACTGGTTAATGCTTCAACCGGTTACCCATGTACTTAAATGTTAAAACTTTACATCTTATATATCAAAATAAAAGTTTTGAAAGTACTTATCCAAAATATGAATCTAGTTAAAGTACATTTTTTTTCATGCAATTTGTTCTTTAATATACATTTTAGTATAATCACTAAAAGAAAAAAAAATAATCTTTAAAATCGTTATTTTAGCATAGTTGTTGAAAATGCTACTTAAATGCTCAAAAATATCTGATGCATTTTAAGCTATTTAAATACAAATGTTTAATAGTAACAAAAAGTGTTAAATATAAATAATTTTATTTATTTTTGCAAATTAAATACAAAATACACAATTTAATTAAACCAAACCTCTATAAATAATTCCCATTTTACATTCATTCAAATTCAAGCAACGATAAGACGAAGAACCTCCCTGAATTCCAACCTTCTGGTTTCTGTGTAAAAGGTCTTGTATTTATGAGGCCAATAAGTCAACCAGATGCAGCCTTTCACTTCCCACTCCATTGTTTGTCCAATCGCACCTCTTCCCACCTTCCACAACACGCTTTCTCCGTACTCATCGCCGGCGAAAATAACCCCTCCTTGCCTCGTAAACGGCCGGTAAGCGCTCGAATACCGGTTTCTGAACCAAGCTTTTGGCTGAAGCAACGCCATCTTTGAAGGCTTCGATGTAACAACTTCTCGGCCATTAACGCTGTCGTGAAGGAACCAATTGAAAGTGCCGCTGTAGCCGTAGACCGATTGTTCGAATTTCCATGGCTTGAGATTCGTGGTGACGGTTTCACCGGCGGAAACGGATAGACCGATGTGAGGATTTGGTGGTTCGAATGAGCCTTCGATGGATCTTTCGAGGCCGATTTCTCGGGTAGGGTTTTCGGAGGATCTGCTTACGGAAACGCTTATGACGTTGGTTTGGACTGTGGGAGTGAGTTGGAGAGATATGCGTGATGGGAAGTGTTTTTCATCGATTCCTGCGCCTCGTTCTTTCATGAGAATGTTGTTCACGAGTCGTATAACATCACACCTGTACAAATCCTTCAATCACTTTCTTTTTTATTAACCAGAATATCCAACCCGCTACGTGAACAGGCTAATCCTAGGACGTCGAAGTCAAAGCATTTGAACCTCCATGACCACAAGGGATTTTTGTTTCTTCTTGGATTTGAACCTGGACCTCCAGACACTTTTGACTTTTGGAGCCAAACTCAAACCAATCAGGCATCACACTTGTGGTTTCCTTCAATCACTTTTAATTCCAAAACAATCCTTGAATTATGTTTTAAAAGGGAATTTATCTAATTTATCGAATGTTTACCGAGTAACCGATAATTGGCAAAAACTATTATCACTTACATGATTGGATATAACATTTTCGAGCTTCAAAATGAATTGGTGGTAAGCGTCTCTTACTCGTTAAGTGTTAACTTGGTAAGAGTTTTATCCTTCACTTATCACCAGGTAAGATTTTCAATTCTTGTAATGACTTTTATCTGGTAAGATTTTTGGTCTCATTCAATTTAGTGAGTGGTAAGCATTTGGTGAACTACCCCTAAATGTCATACTAAACTGTTTTTCTATGATTTATTTTTTTAAGATCAAACGATTATGCACACACTACTAGAAAAAGAGGTATTGGCGAAAGAAATTAATGACGAAATTTTTAATTGTGACGGATCTAATTTCTCGCAATCTGTCGCTAATTAGCGATGGATTAGCTCCACAATGCATCAATTTTGATATAAAAAAAATCTACGATTCTGTTGCTAACCCGTCGTTAATTAGCGACGAAAATCCATGACTTTCAGTTTAAAGAAAAATCTATGAATCCATCGTTGTTAATTGGCGACAACTTTTTTTTTTTCCACATGTGTATATGTTATTTGTATGCATATGTATGGTATATGTATTCATCGGTCCATATATATATATATATATATATATATATACACACCTCCATCATTTAGTGTTGATAACTAATTTAAATTTTAGAAATGGAAACCTTCCATACCTCACATTATCGATGCTAACCAAAACATCAATCCATTTCTCTCGAACCATCACATGGTAATTCAACTGGATCACCCCTTCAACCTGATGATAATTCAACGAAAACTCAAGCTTCGGATCTTCTAGCCCAGGACTATTACACTTCTCGATCTGCATCGCAATCACTGGACAGTACAACTGAACTTTCCATAACCCTAATGTCGAAGTTGCCGATGAATACATCGGCGATGGCGCTTTCAGCACGTAATTCGTCGTTCGTAGCTCCATCATCCAGTTTGTGATGGCAAGATTCATGGATCTCATCCACTGTTCTTCCGTGTTCGACCCCATTAACAGCATCAACCTTTTTGACGTTTCTCGTGCCCATGAACACGAGAATTGATCCTTAAGGTTATTAATACAATCACACCTGATATCTTGAGGAGCTTCATAGATGGATATGATGAAAGTGAGGGCAAGGAACAAGAAGTTGAAGATGTGTTTAAGGTCAGGAATGGAGTTTGGTTCAGGGAGTTTAAGGAAAGAATTGCTGGGTTTTATAGGAGTGTAGTTAAGGATATCTTTAATGATATTGGTCAAGAGCTTGGAGATGGTGTTTTCATGGTGCAAGATATTGTTCATGGAGGTTTTGAGTGGTTTAGAGGTCCAAAGGGAGACGGGGTAGTTGTAATCTGCAAGAATGGAGAAGGAGATCATTGAAGAAGGGTGATTTAGGGTTTTGGAGATGGAGAGTTGCAGAGATGGTTGAGATGAAGACAATGAAGAGCAAATGCTTATGGATTTGGTGTTTGTTTGCCACTGTGTTGGTGGTGGTAGGTTTTGTATCCAAACCCATATATCAGGGAATGAAGAAGAAGCCATTTTGAGTGATGATGGTGTGTCTAATGAACAGATATGTATATAGATATAGATGTGTGTATGTATATATATAGAGAGAGAGAGAGAGAAGGTCAAAAGATGGAAGATGAAAGTGTATGATTAATCCAATAGGATGGCATATTGGTGAAGTAATTAAATATTCGTGTCTCTCATTGAATCAGAGTTTGACACGTGTAATCAAAACAACTGAAATGATTCTATATAGATTTAGCCACCGGCTACGGATAAACGTTTCTAAGAGTGATCATTTTTACTTGCTTTATTCGGTCATATTTTCGAATATTAAAAATTGATGTATATATTGTATCCTATAAGTATTTATTAGGTAAGAGTCTTTTTCTTCACTCATCAGATAAAATTATCAGTTTTTATTATATCTTTTAGTAATTAAAATTATTAATTATTGTTATGATATCTAATAAAAGCTCATTGAATAAACATCTGACAAATAACCTGTTAGAACAAATTGAATCTAACATATGATTGATTCTTTTGAGTTGTAGATGACCAACCAAACTTCTACGACAAAGATAAAGGGGTTGTTTACCAAACACATACTCTATAAGTGCTTACTGGTAAAATTTAACACTATCATTTACTTACCGGGTAAGATTTTAGTCCACCAAAACGGTATTGTATGCAATAATTTACTCGGCAAGCGCTTACCGTAGTAAGAGTTGTTGCTCTCACTTACCGGCTAAGATTCTTGATTCTTGTCTCGTTCTTATCGGATAAGATTCTTGGTCTTTACTATATTCATCCGATAAAGTAATTTGACTTGGTGTTCATTTACCCGAGTAAGCGTTTGATAAACAACCCCAAAGTGATAGGTCAAAGAGAATTATGGAAATAGTTAATTAACCTATTCATGACTTTTATTTCAAAGAAGAAAATCTACACATGCATTTGTATGGAATAAAGTAGAATGTAATGCTATCACACAACTTTGCATGGACTTGGTTTAGTAATTTAGGGTGTATTTCGTGCATGATTGGACAGAATAAGATAGAGATTTATGTTTCATGTTTAACATAATTTTTATGTGGAACAAATAGGAACAGAGTGGAATATGCCTATTTTACCTTACCCCATGGAACATGGTGGAACATACTTATATTTTACCAATATAACATCAAAGTAAAACTTAATTCTCTTCTAAAACATCAAATAAGTCTCAAAATTGGAAACTACATAAACTTTTTATTTGGTATCATTTTAATTGTTTTGACGAAACTTTCAGATGATATATTTTGTTAAAATAATTATTCTATTATAATTTAATAAATTACTAAAATAAACAACTCATTAGGAGTAAATTAGTCATTCTACTTGTTATATTTTGTCCAGTTTTATATTATCAAACATTGAACAGTTGTTCTATCATGTATTGTCATATCATGTCTGGACATCAAACACATCTTTATCATGTAAAGGCAAAACCCTTGAGGGATGTTTGGTTTAATGAAATATTTTTAAGGGATTTTATGAAGAAAAAAATATATATCTTTTGTATGTTTTGTTTGTAGGATCTTAAATGAAATTAAATTTCTTTCGTTAAATAATATTTAAAATAATTAAATTGTTTTTTTCTTAATTGATTATTACAAGACAAGTGTGCTTAACCTATTTTAAAATATTATTACAAATAAATCTTATAAAATCCCACAAAATACCAACTATTCCCATGGGGATTTCTAAATCTCATGTTTGTAAGATTTCAATACGAGATCTTGAAATCCCAGGATTTTAATTCCAGACTTTCACTTAAGCAAACGAATGGTTAGAATAGAATCTAATTTCAAATTCTACCAAATCCCGTAAACCAAAAAGTCTTTATTGTCGTATTTCACGATTAGGCACCAGTAGAAAGTAAAGATTGATTTTAATTTTGGCCTGAAAGTGAAATCAATAGAAATAATTACATATGAAATTGGACATTTAATCACTTCGGGATTGTTTTTTTACCTCTTAATAGTTCCATTAAGAGACAACTTATGAATCGTGAAGAGATGAATCTTGTTTGATAGAAAAAAAGTCTGTCTGTTAATGGTTCTAAAACCCTTTAAATGATTTTGTATCATAGGTCTCCCTTAACCAGTCAACGCGTTAATTTCATTGTAAACAATTACCAAATAATTAAATTTCATTTTCCACTATATCATAAGAGTTTCTTAATTATTCTGACCATTTAATCATTCTACACCAAATCGTTCAGAAACTGCCAAACACAAACAACCCCTTCGTTAGGGGAAGATTGCAAAATATAAATTTCTATTTTGTATCTATAGCAATATTTTATACAAAATAAAGAAAAAAACATCTAAATTAATGGACTTTGAAAATCTTCAAATCACACATAAAAAAAAATTATTGCATTTTGTATCGACAAAAAACCAATACAGTTAACGTTCAAAATTGCATAACGTGATCGTATTTAATACATATAAGATAATGATAACTAGTTTAAGCAAGATTTCTTCACACGTTAACGTTCTTTTGAGTGTGATACAAACTATTTCAATCCAATTCTTTCATACAGTAATTTTGTAGGTTTTCTATTAAAAAAGAATCGATAACTAGAATAATAATTATGAAAACAACTAACCAATGTCAAATATATATATATATATATATATATATATATATGTTTGGGTTCACGTGAGACCAATGTTTTTTCGTGAGGCCCGTAAGACCAATTTATGTTCATTGATCAACTTTATAAGCTAATGATCTAATGATTTAAAGTTGTACGGTGACAATTTTACGATTATTGAGAAGTCTCATAACAATTTTGTGATTATGAATTAATGTTCAAATTGTAGATTTAATCCCACATCCCTATCTATATAAGGACAAGTCAAGAATGAGTGTGAATATGACTTACACTTTTCTTCCAAAACAAAAGCTTGTAAATTGAAAATATTAAACGAATTAAACTAACATCCAAATGAACATAAGACACCTATTTTTGGATTTAACCATTTGGGGATTACCACAATTTGTGTTTAAAAGAGCCAATGATTCAACCATTTGTAGTGTTTTGGTGAAACACACAATGGAGAGAGGGTGGGTATATGCCTAATCATAAAGTGAAAGGAACAAATTGCATTATAGAACACGATTCGTACTCTTTTCTTGCCTTGTTTGAAATGGGATATATATATATATATATATATATAATTCGAAAGCATCCACTTTTAGATCGTATAATACTTCGAATGGGTTAGAAAAACCCTAAAGTATAACATTCGTATGCATTTGAACAGTAATTCAGAGAATAAAAACTTATGACAAGATAACACTGGTTGTATTTGTTTTGATCTTGGTCCAAAAAGTCTAACGGAATCTATTGAAACCAAAGAATAAAGAACATGGCGTGCACGAAATCACGTATGAATACACGTTGGATTCGTTCATTTTACAGTTGAAAGATATAAACGTGTTTTAAAAAGCAGATGCATAAGCAAAATGACAAATGAAAAGAGTACACCGATATGGTATGATTATTCCTCGAAGAGTTTGAATGGATATATCTTTTTATGATTCAACGTTTTCTTAAAGAAAAGATTAACCTATACAAAAAATTCATGTACGGTATCGATCACTCGAACTTTAGTTAAAATATCAACACACTTAAATTTTAAGGGTGTTAGTTACATTTCAAAAAGAATCATGGACTAATATTGCCTATTATAATAAAATTAGGGACTAAATGTGTATATATTAATAATATTAGGGAAATAAATTATGCATGCACTAATAAAATAAAGAGAAATTTACTTGTCATTTCACAAAATTGATTTCACTTTTTAACAACATTAAAAGGGGTGGGCTAAATGCACCCCTATGCATGGCTTAATGCACTCCTATCATGAATTTCTTTTTCATACACATCAACATCAATGTATGTTTTTTACATTCTCAATGCTTGAAATGACCTTATTTTGACATGAAAGGGGGTGCCATTAGCGCTCCCCCATTAAAAACCTTTTTTTCTTGAATAATTAAAGTTTATAATAAAACTTGCGTATAACAGTAGTTTCTGTATAAAGTTTGTTTCAGGCAAAAAAAAGTATATAATTTAAAAAGTTAATTTTCGGCATAAAAAAATTTTATGTAAGAAAATAAGACTTTATGTCAGAAAATAAAGTTTCTAATGTATTAAAAAATTTATATTTTACATCTTATAATTAGTTATTTAATTTATTTTATAACTTTTACTTGTTCATTTTTTATTTTACACATTTATTATATTAACACATATAATCGTATATTAACTAAAATACATGGAAAAAATACGTTTCTTTTTTTACAAAGTACATCATTATAATCGTCATGTCAGTACGTTCAAAATGAGTCAAATATTGAATATTTTTGGATTTAATCTTATAAAATGTAAGTTTTAAAAATAATTCATACGTATTTATGATGTTTAATGATATAAGATTAAATCCAAAAATATTCAATATTTAGATCATTTTGAACGTATTGACGAGACAATTATAATGATGTAATTGATAAAAGAAAGGGTCGAATTTCTTCTATGTATTTTAGCTAATATATAATTATGTGTATTAATATAATAAAGGAGTGAAATGAAAAATGAAAAAAAAATATAAAATAAATTAGAAAACTAATTAGAAGGGTGCAAATTGTCTAATTTACTTTCTACCCATTATTTTTTTTATTTTACACTTTTATTATATTACAACACATAATCATATATTAAATAAAATACATAAAAAATATGTTTACGTTTTACAAATTAGATCATTATAATCGTCTCGTCAATATTTAATGTATTTTTTCATTATACATTTTTATTATATTAACAAACATAATATGTAACTATAAGAGTATAAAATATAAGTACTAACAATAATAAGCTTTATAATATTTAATAATATAAGATCGAATTCTAAGATATTCAATATTGAACTCATTTTGAATGTATTAATGAGACGATTATAATGGTGTAATTTGTAAAAAAGAAAACGATTTTTTTCATGTATTTTAATTAGTATACGATTATATGTGTCAATATAATAAATGTGTAAAATAAAAAAGTAGGTGATATAAAATAAATTAAATAATTAATTATAATGATGTAATATGTATTTACATAAAGTTTAAGTGTAAATTTTGGCTATTTAAGGAAAAGAGTTAGGCATGGGAATGATGCCCAACCCGTCAGGGAACTTGGTCCACCTGCCTTCGTTGGGGACAGGGATTCCCCGCTAAATCGAGGATGGGGACGGGGAGGGGTATCGTACTCCCCGTCCCGCCTCAAACCTGTTATATATATTAATTAATGTATTTTATATATATATATATATATATTTTTTACTTCAACTAAAGCGGTAATTCATAATTTTCTATTTCCTAACTAGGTTTATAATCTAAAATTGTTAATTTTTTGAATGTTAATATGTAATATTTTGGATGTCAAGTCAAAATACAACTACTCGATAAGCTTTGTATATTACTCGATATGGTTTTATATTACTTAATATTTTTTGGTGCATGTGATTTTAAGTTTTTTTTGGATTAAATTGAATTTCTTTTTTGGTTTTAGGTTATTAATTCTTATATGATGTTGTAGTTTTTTGTATCATATTAAATTCATTTTGGTTTTAGGTTTATTAAAAACTTTTGAGATTTAAACATGTATAGTCTCTCACATATTTAATTTAAAATAACTTATATAAACGGGGAAAAAACCTTTGTTTTCCTGTTGGGGTTGGGGATGGGGATGGAGATGGGGATGTGATTGTATTCCCCGGCAGGGATGAGGACGAGGACGGAGATAGAGATAAATAATCGGGGACGGGGATTGAGGTCCCCGCCCTATTCCCATGCCTAAAAAGAATTCCTAAAATGGTTAAAAAGTGAAATTAATTTTGTAAAATGACTATTTGTGTAAATTTTCCTAAAATAAAGGGACTAATCGTTCATACCAAAGAGAAGTTCAGGGGAAAGTTTTGTAGGTCAACTTAAGTCTTAACGAGTCGTGACATTCTCTCCGGTGTTCGCATTGCACTTCGCTCCGAATCTGTTTCTCGATTTCCGACTTTGTTCCGGCCGCCAGCCAACCGCAATACGATGGCGTCACCGCCGACGTCCCTCCCAGTCTCCAATCCGCAAGCCACCACCACTACTCAAACAACATCAATAGCAACCCCCGCCCTCCGGTCCTTCATCTCCCGTCTCTCCTCCTCCATCCGCCAGTCCTTCTCCCAACGCCGCCCTTGGTACGAGCTCGTCGACCGCTCCGCCTTCTCTCGTCCGGTTTCCCTTTCCGACGCTACCTCACGCGTCCGCAAAAACTTCTCGTATTTCCGAATCAACTACTCAGCGCTACTAGCTGCTGTTCTCGCTTTTTCTCTCCTATCTCATCCTTTCTCTCTCATCATCCTTCTCTGCCTCCTCGGTGCCTGGCTTTTCCTGTACCTTTTCCGTCCATCAGATCAGCCACTCGTGATGTTCGGGCGCACCTTCTCCGACCGCGAAACCCTACTGATCTTGATTGTATTCACTATCATTGTTGTTTTCCTAACAAGCATCGGGTCGCTCGTGATCTCTGCACTTATGGTTGGATTAGCGATTGTTTGCGTCCATGGAGCGTTTAGAGACCCTGAAGACCTGTTTTTGGATGATCAGGATCAGGCTACCGCCGGCTTGCTTTCCTTCCTCGGTGGAGCCACTTCATCTGCTGCCGCCGCTGCTCCTCCAGCTATGGCACGCGTTTGATGATCGAGGTGAAGCTCCATACCTATATTTGAATTTGATTGTACTACTATATATTGGTTAGACAGGCAATTATTAAGTGCCTCAGATTTTTCCCCAGAAATTTGTTAGGGTTTATCCTACCTAGATTAATCAAATTATCATGTACTTCCTTTATATCCAATGGCTTAACCTCATATTGTATTGCTAACTTTATTTGCTTGTTTCTGTCCTTCAGTAGACACAAAGATTGAAATGCTTAAAGTCCACTGTAGCTTGCAAGAACGAAAATGATCTGATAGATTGTGGAAATATAAAAGCATAAAAATCATTACACTCTAGTACCTTTTCTGCAACTTCTCTAATTCATTGCAAAGTGTGTATTTGTTTTACAAGAATATCGGTGTATTTACGATAAAAAGTCAAGTACGATGGTTTAGAAAGTAATATATGTAGGTTTGGGAATTGATAGCCTCTCTGTCCTTCGGGATAGAGGTATGATCTGCATGCATTTTAATCTTCCCCAGACCCCTACTCTTTTGGGATTTGCTAGGTTCATTTAGGGGCTGTTTACCAAACACTTACCGGGTAAGATTTTGGTCCACCAAAACTACATCCTATGCAATAATTTATCTTGTAAGTACTTACCATGGTAAGAGTCGTTACATTCACTTACTGGGTAAGACTGTTGGTCCTTGTTTTGCTCTTACCGGGTAAGATTTTTGGTCTTTACCATATTCATCGGGTAAGGTTGTGTGACTTGATAAGCGCTTACCCGGGTAAGTGTTTGGTAACAGCCCCTTAAACTGGTTTGGTTTGAATATCAGTTGATAGGTATGTATCATATTCCAGAAAGTTTGGTATGTGTCTCTCATTGTCTGTTTTGGCTAATAGACCATGTTCGATCTGTTGCATTTCTTATCACATAAATTATGGAACCATTTTGTGATTAATTTTAGATGGACATGGGTTTGAATTCGATGCGGTTTGATGGATATGGAGGATTCCCGTTGGAGGTGGTAAGAGTACCTATGATCGGTAAAAGCAGAACTGTTTTGTAGGTTGGTTTCTTTAATTGAATGCCATGGACTCTGGATTTTTACTGCTCAAGATCCTGTTTATAGGTGTCTAGGGGCATTAAATTTGGTTTTGGATCGCTTGTTAATTGTAGTTGGAAAGGAAATGCTATGAGAATTAAGGTATGTGGTATGGAGGGTGCTTGACATGCTAGTAACTCAATTGGACTTCCATGCTCTTTTAAGCATAAGGTTCAAATTGTCCTATCAACTCTGTGGGTGCTATATCGTTGGTGAATATGGAATGGGTGTTTTGCATGGATCTTATGGGTCATTTACCCAAATGTAAGCGCTTACCTACAAGAATCCACATTCTCACTTGCCTTATTGGTAAGATTCTAGTTTATCAAAACAGCATCGTATGCAAACAGTTTACCCGGTAAACGCTAACCGGGTAAGAGTGGTCACACTTTTTTACCGGGTAAAACTCGGTCCATGCCATCATTCTTACCGGATAAGATTCTCAGTACTTGTCATGTTTAAGTGATCCGGTAAATGCTTACTGGCTAAGCGTTTAGTAAACATCCCCTTGTTTAGTTCAAAGAGGCATTGGATATTGAGGTATTAAAAAAGAAAGTGTGGTTCGAGAAGCTGGCTTTACAAAAAGTTGGTGGTCAAGAATTTGTTTTTCTATTTGAACAAACCATAAAAGGCGAAGGCCAGAAATTTGCTTAGAAGGGATCAAAGACGTGGTTGTGTGAGTTAATTTTTGCCAATTCGAAATGTTTTGCTGATCAAGTTTTGCTCTTTGGGCCTACGAAACCCAGCTTTGATATACTGTTATAAATGGAGGATGTACAGAACAGTTTAATAAAAGGTTGGAAGTATGGGTATCTACCTATCTGGTTCTTGTATGCAAGCCCGTATGTAGCAGTGGTCTGATTAATTTGTAATTGGACATAAGAGTCGTTTATCAAATGCTTACTGGTAAGCGTTTGTAGACAAGAAGTTACTACCCTCACTCACTTTATTATATAACATTCTCGACCATCAAAATGAATTGTTGGTAAGCGCCTCTTACTTGGTAAGAGTTCTCTCCATCATTTATCAAATAAGATTATTGGTTTTTACCATATTTGATAACCGGCCCCTAAATGTCTAAGGTGGACGTTTGAATTGCAAAAATATTTTTTGAATGGATGACATTATCTAAAGGAATTTGAATAGAATTTAATATCAGTAGGTTTGGTTGTAACGAATTGAATTTGGTTGGAAGGAACTGAAATTGAATGTCTCTTTGGATTGTCAAATTTCATTTGCCAAATGCTTATTGGATAAACGCTTACCAGGAAGAGCATGACCCTCACTTACCTTACCGGGTAAACATCTTTTACCTATACCGCATAGAAGTTTTTTCCCGCACTTGCCAGATGAAATTTTCAGTCCTTGTTATGCTTCTTATCATGTAAGATTCTAGGTCCTTGTTAAACTCATCCAGAAGGTAAAAACGCTTACCAAGTAAACATTTGATAAATAACCCGTTAACATCTGCTGAAGATGGTCTTAAAAAAATTAAATTTGGTCAAATAAATAGCATGTATATACTGTATACAATACCAAACATAACAGAAACGTATGCAAATACCATAAAATATAAGTTAATAGGTGCATTGGTCATCACTTGCCATTCTCATATTATGGATAAAAACTAATTCCTCCCATCATAAAAAATACAAGTTCATTAGGCCAATACAAAAAAGAATGAAATGAACATCACAATTATGTGTCTTGAATATGTCAAAATTACCAAGAAATTGGGGTGGTGAAAAAAAGGCGAGGCATTTTTGTAAAATTGTTTGTAAGATAATCGTCTACGAGTGTACATAAAAAGGTACAAAAGGATGTTATAAGGAGAAATAACCCATAACATTGTTCACAGAACCTCTATTTCACCTAACAGTTTTTCGCATATCCACTTGTTTCATTCGCAACAGTTTCCCACACGCTTGCCATCTTCTCTGCATATCCTGCCTGTTCTCATAACAACCACAATTTAATTGCTATCAAATTCACAAAACCCAAAACCACATTATCTTCTTTTCTACTAATTATGTTCCACGACGACAAAATGGCAACAATTTCCATTTTTGGATTTATAGTATAAATTGTAAGGTTTCCTTTGGGTTTTCCATGTTCAAATTGCTTCATTTTCCAAATAATTCAAGGAAGGGCGCACTGCAGGGAGGGTCCTTTTAAGTTTGTCCGAGTCCCATGAAAGTTGCAACAACTTCCATTCCAGGATGCAGAAATATTACTTATGGAAGATGAACAACAGTACCTGGTTAGCGACGAATCCTTTCAACATGCCAAAGAAATCATCATGCCTTTCTTTGTCCAGTCTTTCAAGCTCGTTCTTATTATTCTCCTGCATAAGCATAATTGTCAAGGATCAAGATCACTCTGGCAGTCCTGATAACAATCAAGGATGGTCCAAAACTTTGTGGATTGGGGGTCCAGAAAATAAGTTTTGCACTAAATGATGTAGAATTATAATCAATGGATATTAATGCTTTGAAAGTTGTGAAATGCCATATAAAATAAACAAACACAAATATTCGAAGGGGATGATCAAATATGGCGAGTGCTTGGAAGCATCAACTTGGCTCTACAGAACTGAAGACAGTTGATGGCAAATTTCCATTATTTCAGTAGAACAGGTGAAGATCAGATCTTCAATCTCATTGTCATTTCTTCCCCAAATAATTTTGGTACTTCTTTTTTGTCTTGTTACAAGTAATATTTTGGTACTTCTTTTTTGTCTTGTTACAAGTAATATTCATAATCATATCTGCATCCAAGTTTAAACAAATCAGCTATATTTAACCTTATGGTTCTGGCACTAGCATCAACTCAGATCCAATACTAAGGGGGTGTTCGGCAGTTGCTTAATGGTTTGGTGCATAATGATTAAGTGGTCAGAATGATTAAGAGACTCTTATAATATAGTGCAAAATGAAATATAATTGTTTGGTAATTATTCAGAATGAAACTAGAGTGCTGAATGGTTAAGGGATACATAAGATACAAAACCATTCAGAGGGTTTTAGAACCATTAAGAGGCAGACTTGTTTTGCCAAACAAGAATCACCTCTTAACGATTCAGAGACTGCCTCTTAATGGAAACATTAAGAGGTAAACAACACTTAACATCACCAAACCAAACCAAACCAAATGAGCCCAGTAAGTCCCACCCGGAGGTGGGGTCTGGGATGGTAAGATGTACACAAACCTGACCTCTTCCCTAAAAAGTAGACTACTGTTTCCGTGAAGACCCCCGGCTAGTGTAAAATGTGAGAAAGTTACAAAAACAGATACAGTAAACATAGAAAAGTTAGATATGAGTAAGCAATAACAATACAAATATGAAAAGAAATAGAGAAAGACATCTATGCTAAATTTTGGGAGGCATGAGTAAGCAGAAGCAATATGACTAGAGGCCAGTACAAGAGAAACATAACCAAGGTGTGGAAACTACTCAGCCCTCGTCTAACTTAGGGTTCTGGTAACCTAACTGCCGACTCACTAACCCTATCGCCTACCCTCTACCTCTCCAGCTTCCTTCCTTCGTCTAGATTCCCACCTCTAGTCTGTTATCCTAGTCTTGCATCTCTAGGTGCTCCTATCAGCAGTCATGTCCTTGAAAATGCCTAAAGCTGCCATGTCTAGTCTCAGTTGTTCATCCCACGTCCTCCTCGGTCTACCGCTCCTCCCCTCCCCCCCTGAACCGTGATACTTTCTACCCTCATTACTGGCGCCGCCATCAGTCTCCTACGAACGTGACCAAGCCACCATAATCTTCCTTCCCACAACTTATCCCCGATAGAGGCAACTCCCGGCACTACCCAGAAGGCCCTGTTAGGTATTCTGTCAAACATGGTTCTACCACAGATCCATCTAAGCATTCTCATTTCTGCAAGTTCCATCTTCCCCTCGTTGCCCAAGCACTCTGTCCCATACAATATAGCTGGTTCGACTCCATCCCAAAAGAGGTGCTACACTGCTATGTCTTCCCCTTCCAGGTGTACTAAATAAATGGCAAGTCCTCTAACAGCCTTCCATATAGTCGGTTAGTTATTTTAATCTTGAAAGCAATCATTGCTGACATAACATTAACCACACATTTCTATACTACTATACTATCTCGCTTCTTCAGTTCTCATGCAATTGAGCGACTCTGATGGAGGCGAAAGGAACAAAGGAAGGTTTGTCCCTTATGTTTCAGCCCATATGCAATTCATCTGTATTAATCAAATATATAATTGATGTACCTTCAAATTCCAATCTGATTCTCATAGAAAACTGAATGCTTACAAATGAAAACCTGTATTCGAGAATCAAGAGGCATTCATTTTCCAAGGCTTCCGCCCAATTCACCAAAAACACAACTAAAAGCTAGTAATCCCCTCCCCCTGTTATTTATTTCCCACCTGGCTCCCTTAACAGCTTAAACAGAAAGATTCCCAAAAGACCAGAAAACCCACACTACCCGTAGCACAATCATTATAGCATATAATACCACTTCTTTTTCTTTCCTTTGCATATGGAAGTAAACCTAATGGCAGGTCTATCAGTAATATTTCTGAATATTGGTGGAAGTAGCACTTAGCCACTTACATTGAGACAGCAGGGGTAATTAATGAGGAAAAACTTTGTTTGAATGCTTATAGAAGACTCATATTAATCTGACAAAAAGATTGATTCAGACAATAGATGTTCCACTGTCAAACACTCAGAAGTAGCTTCCCCTCCCTGCTCCATCATCCATGTTAAGAATGCTTTTCTAACCAACTAAAAATTTACTAATGCTCTTACATAGCCTCTGTTAGTATCCTACAAGCACCATATTATCTACACTGCATGAAAACCTTCATGTAAAATTATGTTGCAGTACAAGTTGTTAGATGATCTTGTATTGCTAGAGAAAAGTTACACCATAACAACCATATTGATGTAACAGATTGTTAAGATTTTTGGAACAAGTCTATGGTGGAGGAGCTGAAATGGGGAAAGAAAGGAAACTTTATAGCATGATAGATAGCAAACCATGCTAGAAAAAAAAATTAACTCAATGCACAATATCTAGCAAGAATTAGAGTTAATATATGTCAGTTCATTGGCTGACATGCTACGACCCTACTTGAATTGTGGAACTTCTTCACTCATTTCTAACAATGAGTACCATATAATCCATCAAAGCTTTTAAAAAGGAAAACAAATAGCAAAACCCCTAGCTGTACCTCTGTCAACCAACCGACCTGTTACCAACTTATAACAAACAGAACATAACCTAGTCTTTTCAAAGGCATATCAAACATCATGTAGCATGAGCATAATTTATATATCATTCACTGGCCCAGGTGTAAAATGCAGTAAGAAAGTAAGGTTAGGTGCTCCATTTTGAACATAATATCACGATTAAATGGTTGATGACAAGTTCTCAAATCCTAACAAAATGTTAAGGTAAGATATTTAGTAAAGATTGGAAATTGATGCTCAGCCTTGGAAGCTATAAAGACAAGCAGAACAACTTCAGTTACCTTTATGCGCTCATATTCTCTAACTGCGCAGCTTTTAGCTTCATCGGTAACCCTCATAGTTTCTTTCAACTCCTCGATTTTTCGAACTCTAGATCGGTCACCACCAAATATCTTGGATGCAGCTGCTTCAAGCTTTTCAATCCTAGCATTTAGAGTTGCCAGCTCTGATAGAAGAGTCTGTACTGTCAACAAAGCATTTGATCGATCTGAATATGCATTATTGACAGCTAACATCACTCCAAGGTATTCATGAAGCTTATCCTGCATAAGTTAAACAAAAAGCCAATTTTGAACTTAACTGGGAAATGGGAATAAAAGACGCATATTACTTCTGCAATAAATATATCTAAGTGAAGTATCTAGCAGATACCAAATGTCTGACAGTCTGTGCATTCAACTCCCGATACAATCTGCTGGCTTTAACAGCAGAAGTAGCCACATTTTTCATATCTGCGGCTCTCACTTTTTGAGAGTTGAACATGGCTTCCTCGGACTCAAATTTGGTTAATTTGACAAAAGCCAACCCCAATTGCCCCAGGGTCTCTCCGATGTCTTGCTGAGCTTTAACAAGAGATTCAGCCTGCAGTTTCACAAGATGGTGAACTTAACAGTGCAAATGTAAAACTGAAGTTAGCAGACTTTTAGCAGGAGTTCAACAATCAAGTATCTAATATCAACAAATATGTTCTTATCTCAATATGAAACAAATATATGATCAAATATGATGATTCCAACTGAAATTAGAAGAGATGAACAATATCAGGTACAAAAGAGTAGGAAACAGTGTTACCACTTTATTACAAATATCTGGCTGGTAAAGACATTTATATTATAGGTCTCATGCATTGATCGAGCTATAAGCTTTGACCATTTGTTGCTTTCTCCTTACAAGAGCTCATAAAAGAAGCAATAAAGAAAAGGAAAGTATTAAATAAGAAGGTATAAGATGTGTGCAGAAAAGATGATTTTGCAGTCATTTATTAAAAACATGCTACGACAGATATAAGTGGTTTGGTGGCAGGTCAAAGCATAAATGAAAATGCATTGTAGAGTCAAGGTGAAGATAGATGAAAGAACCACAGAAAAATAGAGAACATTGTGCATAGCCACATAGATTGTGGAAAATGCACTATGGTAGCATATTTATGATTTGTATGTCTCTGTCTATTGCAATTTAATATGTGAGGAGGTTCAACTTGACTGTCAAAATTTCCAGTTTCGTCCACATACAGTGGCTACTTACCAAAACTGCAAGTTCGCCTACCTTCTCGAAATTCTACTTGCAAATCTATGCCCATGCATGGTAACACACTAACACATCAAAATCTAAGTTGCCTGAGAAGGTTCTTTTTCTTGACCACATTAGCAACAGCAAAACTCATTGGGAGTGACTAGTGAGTATGAAAGTAAAACCATTCCACAAGCATGCATGAGA